ATGAATAACCTAAACATCTGTACCCCCATAATATACTGAAATAAAAAAAAAAAACAGTTGGCTTGTATACTTCTCCCTTGCTCAGCCCTAATCCTCTCACCTCACATTGTTATCATCTACCACAATAAATTTACAGTGAAGCACACATTTGTATCATGTGGCTTATAATGAAAAAAAAACTTGCGAGAGCCTGTTTTAAAGTCAGTATATTACACACACACATACACATTCACACACCCAAACCTTGAATTTAAGCTGGTTTTGATCATCCTGGGGAATTCAGAGTATACATTAGTTGAATTCTGAGCATCGGCTCCAATAGTAAAGACTACCTAAGTGAAGGTGCAATATCAGGCACAACTCTGCAGTTTCTGAAGATACACTGTGTACCTATGTGGGTGGATTTTGGAGGCAGCCCCAGGACCTGCACACCTGTTCTAGAACACCCCATGGCAGCCTTCCTAAAAACAGATTGCTCAGATTTCTTGGCCAAATTTCTAAGCTGAAAGCCTTGACTAATGCAAAACCTCCCTTATTGTGGGGAGCTTTGTTTACCTGATTAAAATGTAAAAATATAATTAAAAATTTTCCCCTCAAAATTAGGAGAGTCATTTCTGAACAGAAAATGAGTCATAAGACCCCATTGGGCATTTTGCCAATGCCCAGTTCATTTATGCCAGCATGTGGTACACTCTAAGTTTGTTCCATAGCTTCAGAAGAAAACAAAATGTTAATTGAGTACAGTGTCTTCTGTTTGTCAAGGAAGCATTGATATAATTAAATGAAATAATGTGTGCAAATACATGGCAAAGCAGTATACACATGCCAATTGTTAGACAAAATAGCCCTACTGAGGATAAGAATGGAGTAAAAGGCTTAACTGAAAAAGCAAATGAGTTATCATATGCAGCACATTTAAATTTTAAAAGGCAGAAAATACTTTTAAAATATGTATATATTCTGCCTTTAGAATCTAGCATCGAAAGAAAATTTGCAAGATAAAGATTTGTTGGATTAGTGCTGAGGTTCTAACCATCCCCTTGTAGTGTAAATAGATTCAAGTAGACTTAAAGATAATAAGAATAATTTTGTTCACACCATTTAGGGATTTAGATAGTTAGGTTAAAAGTCATTGTGGGGGAAAGAGCACATTTTGTTCCTGGTTTTGGCACCCAGTAGCATAAGGTTGCCTCTAACATTCATAATTACCGGTGTTGTAATTGTGTAACTATTCCTAGTAGATAAAAAGGGGTAATTACCAAACCTGAATTTTGGTAGTACCATTCACAATTTCATGCCTGAAAAGTCCTTTTCACTTCTCTAGTATCTCTATTTTGCCAAGCCACCTGGTTTTAGAAAATTAAATTGGAATTTGATTCTTTCCTAAACACTAAAACTTGATTAATGTAAACATAGAAAACCAACTGCTTAATAAAATTATTAATCTGCTCAATTTGTGATCTTTTTAGCGGAGAAGTGAACATACAGATATTTCAAAATTGAAGTTATCCTTTGGGTTTAATTGATAAGTGTGAATGAAGATTTCATGTGTTGTGCAAAATGTAGTAGATTAAAATTGCAAAGTAATCATTTCCAGAAGTATTGTGCATAGACAGGCAACAGGCTTTGTGTGCTTAAATGTCCCAGAGATTTTCGCTATGATACTGTTTGTCTCTTCATGGATTATAAAACCATATATGGACCTTTTATTCCTACAGGTCTTTGCTTGGCTGTACTTTCCCACATCTTCTGTGCCAGGTACTCCATGTTTGCAGCTAAACTTCTGACTCACATGATGGCAGCCAGCTTAGGTACACAGGTAGGAGAGGTCTGGCATTTTTGATTTATAATGAGATGTTTATATTTCTTCTTCCTTAAACTTAGTGTATGAGTGAAGTTTAATCTCACCTTAGTTGAAATAAGCTTGTTTAGTTTTGTAGTAGGGGAGGATGAGTGGTATAAGGAAAGGAGAGTACCAGGCCTAAAATGCATACTTTGTGAACTTCTTTCTACAGAAAAGTACCTTAATATTATCACTTATAAGAAAATAGCTTCTTATCACAAAGCATCCTATTGTCAACTAATACATGTTAAATATATTACTTATTTACATGTATATTAAAATTAATATATTTTATTTAATCTGTTTGAATAAAATATGCTATGTCATAATTCTTTTATGGGGAGGGTGTTAAGATGATATGTACTTTAAAACATCTGGATAATATATCATGTTTCATTTAATGTAATGGAATACAATTTGGTAGAAAATTCTCTTTTGAAAAATTGTTCAGTTGTCTGTGGTAGAAGAAATAGTGTAAAGACCATTGAATTATTCATTAGTGTGCAGTTTGAAGCATCCAGTTTAAAGCACAGTGTAAGGCACAGAAGCTGAAAGATGAAATTAAATGCCTTTTCTATCCCTGAGGTGCTCACAGTCTAGAAAAGTAGATGTACATAGAAGTAACTGTGTAATTCAGTGTGACGTGTAAACATAGACTATTTGCAAACTATTTTTTGAATATAGATGAGGACTTAATTCATTTTTCTGTGAAGATCAAGGAAGTCTTCACAGAGGAGGTGATATTTGAGCTGAGATTCATATGAGTAAAATTTGTGCAGTTTTTTTAATAAGGAGTAAGAAGGGCATAGACATTTTTTTTAGCCAAAGTTTAAAAAGCATAATCATTTCTACATTAAGGACGAAATTATAGATCCGGACAGTAAGAATATGCTATATAATGTTCTTATTGAGAGAGAACTTTTTAATATTATTTTATAAAATAAAAAATCCTGCTTTTTTGAATGTGGGGGAAACACTTCTAGAATGCAGACGATGCTCTGTTTCTTGATTGTTGCTGGTTATATGTACAAACTCAATTTGTGTAAATTTATTGTGCTGTATTCTTATGATTCGCACACTGTTTTTTAGAGAGCTGAAGTGAATTGTATTGAACGCCGAACAGAACTTGAAAAAATAGCATTAGTGGAGGAGCTGAGATATAAAATGGATAATTATCTGGGAAACTGAAATCTTTTGTCTCAAGAATGAAAATGACCTGTAAATTTCATAACTCTGTTTTTCAAGGAACAATTAAGTGCTATATTTTAAGCAGAGGGTCCCAGATTGTGCTTTTAAAGTATTTATGAACAATGGGAGGCAGCAGTGGTTACTAAAAGAGGGCTTACCTTGAATTTGACAAGGCTATTTATATTGCCTCCGTAACCTGCCTTAGCAGCCTGATCTTGCCTTTGCTTCTTGTATGTAAGATCTTAGAAAACCCGCCTTCCATAATTAGAGTTTACTTGGCTCTATTCATCACCCACTCTGGTGATTTTTTGGCAGCAGAATTTGTACAAGACTTAATTATAGCACTGTAGAATTACAGACAACTCTTCAGTGTCCTAGCAGACAAATTTGCTCATGTCTAGGGATGTAAAAGAAAGACTCAGGATTTATATGTTGGGGCATTGCCTTTTGATTCATATTGTACTTAACATTGATTTTGGAAAAAAAGGTTAGTCAAATTCGTGTTTTTCAGTATTTTTTAGAATAGATGAAGCAATGTGGCATAAAAAATCATATAGTGTATGACTAGAGACATGAAATAACTAAACGATTATTTTCATAGTTTGTTTTTGGCAGTAAGAATTGGTATATTATTGATAAAAACTGTTTTCTCAAAATGATTTGTTTCTTTACTTTGATTTTTAAAATACCTCCTAAGTTCAAGAGAATTATATCCCTTAATACCAACTAAGGCTTTTTAAAATTCTTAGACCCTCCAAAACAAGAAATGAAACTGACTGCAAGAACTTGGGCCCCCACACCCTTTCTGAATTTTAAAGTCATGTTTATAGCTCCCGGTACAGAATCTTACCAATGGGTGTTATTACAGTTCCAGCCTTGGATCTTGTTTGGGATCCTACATCAATGTTATGTTGACATCCTTAGAGTTTAAATTTACTAAAGAGAAGTCTTGAAAAATACAGGCTTGGCCTATGGTTCTTTGGCCAAGAGAGTGAAACTTCTATAGCTGACCTAGAGTGTTTGAGCTGTAAATACTTTGCAGACAGGTTTGCCAAGACCAATCGGTTCAATACTTTATTGCTGAACTAGGAATAAGTAGAATGGCTTTTATGGGGAAGGAAAACATGGAAATGTGATAGTTCTTTACTTCCTTTTGGAGCAATGTGGTATAATCGGTCCATGAATCAGGCAGTGAGGAAAATATGCTCGTCTTGCTCTACTTGCTACTTCCAGAAATATATGGAATATTATATACATAATGTATTATATAATTTATTGTGTGTGTGTGTATATATATATATAGCTCCATAACTGGAGAGATATTGATCAGAATCCAATGAGTATTTCTGCTTTAAAAGTCAAAAGATTCTGCTTTAATCTGGAATTTGTCATTCTAGCACCTTTGAGAATCATTGATTATGATACACCAGCAGGTGGCAGTAGAAGATTTTATTAAATTTTTATTTTGTTTTCTTGCAAAATTCGTCAGTCTCTCTTTAGTAGCGATGGAGTTCAGTAAAAACCTGGAGAGTTGCTTTCATAGTACTTCTTTGACTGACCTAGAGAGTGTTTGTCTGCAACATAACAAATACATGTTTGTGGTTTCCTATCTTTGTCTTTTTATGCCCTTCATTCAGAATTTAATTAAATGCATTAGTAAGGTACCATAAGAAAGCTTGTACATCACTGGCTTCTGATGTATCTTTCTGCCATTTATTATTTATATTTAAATTTAGGAATATATAATTTATTTTAATCATTATATTTATGAACATTAAGAAGTGTATTATTGATTAGAAAAATGTGTTTATTGGAATGTCACAGAAGTTTTGAGATAAGGTCTGTATTTTCAGTTTGTCCAAAAGTATGTATTTTTCTTCAATGCCAAAGTAATTTTTTCTCAGTTATCTAAAAGAAAATGATTAAATGGCAAGAAAGCGTGGGACCATTCCCTTCAAGTGTAATGTGAAAAACATCAAACACATTTTCATGACATTGGGTGATATTTCTGGGAAAACATCTAATTATATCTTCGGGATTTTTATCTAAGAATCACATTGCTAATCCATGTGTGCCCTGATAAGGCTGGTAAACAACTAGGACAAAGGACAAGTTTGCAGTTCAGGGTTCTCAGTTTTGGGGGTTCTGTCAGGAAAAGCAGTTCTCCAAATCTAAAAAAAGAACAGAAGTTTCCTCATAGAAAACATGATGATAAGATAGAACTGCATTTATTATGATTACTAATACTTAACAAAGGGGAAATGCTTGTTTTTATCTCTGCTGTTTTGTTTGTTTATATGGCTTAAACACATTTTCTGAAACTGAAGAGCAAATTTGTCTAGAAAAATAAATGTAAATATGATTACATAAACATTGTCTGAACTCAGATTACAATGTGAATATTTGAGAATTTGAAGTTTTTGGTAGTCACTGGGTGTTCAGGGATTTTATCTACGAAGGTTCTCTCCTCAAGAAGGGAATTGCCTTAAAATTCAGAGGACTGTTCTCTGGAATTTCACGAAAGGTGGGCCATCAGTGTCTTTTGTCCAGTTTCTCACTCTCCAGCATTTTGGGATGTCATTTTGCAAGGTCTTGTTTCCCAGGGAGGGAGAGACCCCTGCTGACAGATTCTGCTTTAATCTGGAGTTTCTGTCATTCTAGCTTTGAGTGTCTGGCGCCTTTGGGAATCTTTTAGGATCATTGACTGCATGACTGAGGCCAGAAGCTGTGTGTGACCTCCCAAAGGCCTGCTCCTTCTGGATACCATAGGCCCTTGTTTCTGCCCCAGCAGCTTACGCTGTTTTTTGGGTTTTTTTATTTGAAGCAAAGTCACTGTGTTGCTCTGAGTAGAGTGCCTTGGCATCATCCTAGCTCACTGCAGCCTCAAACTCCTGCGTTCAAGCGATCCTCCTGCCTCAGTTTCCCAAGTAGCTGGGATTACTCAGGCCCATGCCATGACAGCAGGCTAATTTTTCTATTTTTAGTACAGAAGGGTCTCGCTCTTGCTCAGGCTGATCTCAAACTCCTGAGCTCAAGCCATCTTCCCGCCTCAGCCTGCCAGAGTGCTAGGCTTACGGGCATGAGCCACCACACCTGGCCTGTGCTGTTTTGTTGAGACTGCCAATTCAGGAAAGTCATTGTGTGATTAGGACCTGAAAACACATATCTAACAAGCATATTTTTATCATTTGAAGCAGACTAAGGTAGACATTGTAAAATGTTCATTTTTCAGAACAAAATTTTCCGTAGTTGGAAGTTTTGGTTAATCACTTATTAACCAGAGTATCCTTTGTTAGTTCTACTTTTGTTAAAAAAAAAAAAAAAAAAAAAAAAGTATTTAGGACGTTTAAGTACAAGGATCAAAATTGGACCTTGCTTTGAATATTTGGAACCTTGAGATGCACACAGGGTCATTATTCAGTAGAACATTTATGATTATATGTTAGTGCATATGCAAATGGATCAGGAAGGTGTTTCCTAAACTTCACTGTAGGCATCTTGTTAAAATTCAGGTACTGGATCAGTAAGTCTAGGGTGAGTTTTCAGATCCTGCTTGTTGACAGATTAGATTAGCTTTATTATGACTCAGGAATATCTCTGGTTATTGCTGCTGCTGTTGCTGTTAATATTATCATTACTAAACCACAAATTTTTTTGTTTAAGAAATCCCATTAATTAATTTTTTACTTTCATTTAAAATGTCATTGCCTTTAAAACTACTTACAGACATTTATCTTTCCCTCTTTGGGGAAAGACTGCTACTGCTGCTTCCTTCTGGTTTTCTTTCT